ATTTTGTATCGTGAGAAGTGTCTAAAAAAAGAAAAGAAAAGAGAGAGAGAGAAGAAGAAGAAGCAGAAAACGATGGAGAAGACAAAACTCTCTGAACTTTATTAATGACTTTCTTTCTTCCACACCGAACGAAATTTGAACAATGCCCCTCCCTCCCCCTCCTCCTCTTCTTCTCCTCTCCCCTCCACCTCCCCTTTTCCCCTTTCTCCCTTTTCTCTTTAATGTTAGCCTTTTGTCATTAAAGTAACCACTGAGTGACCCTTTGTTGCAGCGATGACCTCAAAGGCAAGAACTCTTTCATCTTGAAAAGGTCCTCGAGTGAGAGATCTTTTCATAAACTTTTTACATAATCAATTTGTTAAAACTTTTTTTTTTTTTTTTTTTTTTTTTTTTTTTTTTTTTTTTTTTTTTTTTGCCTTTTTTTCTTTCCGGTGTCCCCGTCTGATGAACATGCCTCGGGCTATATGTTAAGGAAGGTATATGTTGTATAATGAAGTACCTGTGTACGAAGATGAATAGGTGAGTCAATAAGTAAATGAATGAATACATAAATAAGTTTATATACATGAGTAAATTGATAAGTATATAAATACGTGTATAAATAAATGAATCAATTAGCTAACGAGAATTTATCTAGCTATCTACCTTTATACCGAGAGAAAGAGAGAGAGAGAGAGAGAGAGAGAGAGAGAGAGAGAGAGAGAGAGAGAGAGAGAGAGAGAGAGAGAGAGAGAGAGAGAGAGAGAGAGAGAGAGAGAGAGAGAGAGAGAGAGAGAGAGAGAGAGAGAGAGGAGATGGATGAACAGGTAGAAAGAGGGAGATAAGTAGATATATATACAGACTGATATGTAGATAGACAGATATATACATGCATACATAGATACATACATACATACATACATAGACAAATAGATAGGTAGATAGAGAGACATAGCTATAGACATATAGATAGAGATAGACACATAGTTATCGATAGTTAGATAGAGTTAGACACAGCGACAAATAGATAGAAGTAAACATGAAATAGATAAATATAAAGACTGAGATAGACAGAGATATTTAGATAGAACTAAACATAAACATATATAAAATAGACACATAGGAAATGATTTACAGATAGATAGATCGACATAGATAGATATAGATATATGTGTTTTTGTCTGTGCCTATGTATATCCCCACGTGTTCCACTCTACAAGCTTTTCTCCTGGTAACAGTATTCAAATGTGTAGGTAAATCATATTTATTTATGGGTCATAAATACACACGCATTATGCTCGTCGATTTGGCCTGCATGCTAAAAAAAGCACATTGAGGGATTTGCTCTAAAGACATTTAAAACAAAAGTGAAAGAACATCTACTGAAATATCAATGACATCAGGCGCATAAACATCAAGCCCAGCACGATATTTCAATCACATATGGTATTATTGTTATGTGTAATTTTGTTCCACAAGCATTGTATAATGTTCATAGCACCCTATTGCATTGTGTAAACACCTTATATGTAAAGAGAATACCCATTGTAATTAATGGAATAAAGTATTTGAATTTGAATTTGAACTCTTCTGCCGCACGCGAATAAATATATGTGTTCATGTCGTCTGAGCTTTAGGGACGATAAATTCTCTTATGATATCGGTGGTATTTAAGGGGCGCATGATAGAGCTATTCCTTGCAGTTGGTGTGTGTTTTACGAGGGAGGATTGTGGGGTCGCGCTTCTCTTCTGGTGGAACGAGGGCGTGGAACTGTCATTGAAGCCGTGACTGAAGTTCGTTTTTTTTTTTTTTTTTTTTTTTTTTTTTTTTTTAGAAAGAGGGGGGGGGTATAGAATTGTATTCAAGAGGATTGATGGTATATCTTGTTTGTGTGTGTGAAGTTCTTTTTTTTTTTCTTTTTTCTTTTTTTTTTTTTTTTTAGAAAGGGGGGGGTGTATAGAATTGCATTCAAGTAGTTTGAGTTTGATTGGGTTTATATCTTGTTTGTGTGTGTTTGATTTCTTTTCGTGGTTGTGTGTTTATAGACTATATTAGAGAATCCATTCCCCCAAAATTGCTCTCTAAAACCAAAATTAAAAACTGCTTGTCATCTACCTACACAGTGACTACAAATTATTTCCTGGGCAACGACAAAAAAAAAAAAAAAAGCTATTCCATGAAAGATATATAGCTGTTAGAGAAGCTGCATAAATAGATTGGTGAATTAAATAAATGATATGCTAATGCGAAACACAAAATCATTTCTAATTCCAATTAAGAAAGGCATTAACCTTCATGACTATATTTCAGCTTGCTAGCTTTGCATAATTTTAAATATGCAAATTTATGGAGTCATATTTTTCCGCTATATCCTATTAATTGAAGGATATAGGTTTTTGAAACACCTCTTAATAATGTTAATGTTTACAAAGTGTTTCATTACTCAAAAAAGGGAAAAAATGAATAAATAAACAATAAATAATAAATAGATAAATAATAAATAAATAAATAAATAATAAATAAATAAATAAACACTGAGAACGTTATTTAAAAAAAGTATATTGAAATGCATTATGACGATGTTAAAAAAATATCCACTAAAACTATTTCGTTTTAATTCAAATTAATCGTTAATGTAAAAAGAAATATTTATCTTTGCCATTCTAAATAAGGTCTTATTGTCGTAAGTTCCTTAGTATTGCCACTACTACAAGTTTAATTTTTTTTTTTTTTTAATCATCATATACCTCTCTATTTATCGTTGCTAATAAGTTCGACTTCGTTATCATTACATATCATTATGTTTCTGATTACAAGGAAATATGACTTAATTACCACTCCACATCTTTCCATTTGTGGTTCCGTGTCTTATTTTATTACTACAACATAGATCTTTTATTTCGTTATTGTTCTCCTCTGCATAGATCTTTATTTTGTTATTATTCTCCTCTGCATAGATCTTTATTTTGTTATTGTTCTCCTCTGCATAGATCTTTATTTATTGTTCTCCTCTGCATAGATCTTTATTCTGTTATTGTTTCCTCTGCATAGATTTTTATTTCGTTATTGTTCTCCTCTGCATAGATCTTTATTCTGTTATTGTTCTCCTCTGCATAGATCTTTATTCTGTTATTGTTCTCCTCTGCATAGATCTTTATTTCGTTATTGTTCTCCTCTGCATAGATCTTTATTCTGTTATTGTTCTCCTCTGCATAGATCTTTATAGATCTTTATTCTGTTATTTCTCCTCTGCATAGATCTTTATTCTGTTATTGTTCCTCTGCATAGATGTTATAGATCTTTATTGTTCTCCTCTGCATAGATCTTTATTCTGTTATTGTTCTCCTCTACATAGATCTTTTTTTGTTATTGTTCTCCTCTGCGTATGTTCATAGATCTTTATTCGTTATTGTTCTCCTCTGCATAATCTCCTCTGCGTAGATCTTTATTGTTATTGTTCTCCTCTGCATAGATCTTTATTTCTGTTATTGTTCTCCTCTGCATAGATCGTTTCTTGTTCTCCTCTGCATAGATCTTTATTCTGTTATTGTTCTCCTCTGCATAGATCTTTATTCTGTTATTGTTCTCCTCTGCATAGATCTTTATTTTGTTATTGTTCTCCTCTGCATAGATCTTTATTTCGTTATTATTCTCCTCTGCATAGATCTTTATTTTGTTATTGTTCTCCTCTGCATAGATCTTTATTCTGTTCTTGTTCTCCTCTGTATAGATCTTTATTGTTCTGCATAGATATTCTGTTATTGTTCTCCTCTGCATAGATCTTTATTCTGTTATTGTTCTCCTCTGCATAGATCTTATTCTGTTATTGTTCTCCTCTTAGATCTTTATTCTGTTCTTGTTCTCCTCTGCATAGATTTTATTTCTATTGTTCTCCTCTGCATAGATCTTTATTCTGTTATTGTTCTCCTCTGCATAGAATCTTTATTCTGTTATTGTTCTCCTCATAGATCTTTATTCTGTTATTGTTCTCCTCTGCATAGATCTTTATTCTGTTATTGTTCTCCTCTGCATAGATCTTTATTCTGTTCTTGTTCTCCTCTGCATAGATCTTTATTTTATTATTGTTCTCATCTGCGTAGATCTTTATTTCGTTATTGTTCTCCTCTGCATAGATCTTTTATTTTGTTATTGTTCTCCTCTGCATTGATCTTTATTCTGTTATTGTTCTCCTCTGAATAGATCTTTATTTTGTTATTGTTCTCCTCTGCATAGATCTTTATTCTGTCATTGTTCTCCTCTGCATAGATCTTTATTCCGTTATTGTTCTCCTCTGCATAGATCTTTATTTTGTTATTGTTCTCCTCTGCATAGATCTTTATTCTGTATAATACTTTCTTGTTCTCCTCTGCATAGATCTTTATATTGTTCTCCTCTGCATAGATCTTTATTCTGTTATTGTTCTCCTCTGCATAGATCTTTATTCTGTTATTGTTCTCCTCTGCATAGATCTTTATTCTGTTATTGTTCTCCTCTGCATAGATCTTTTATTCCGTTATTGTTCTCCTCTGCATATATCATTATTCTGTTCTTGTTCTCCTCTGCATAGATCTTTATTTTATTATTGTTCTCCTCTGCATAGATCTTTATTCTGTTATTGTTCTCCTCGGCATAGATCTTTATTTCGTTATTGTTCTCCTCGGCTCCTCTGCATAGATCTTTATTTCGTTATTGTTCTCCTCTGCATAGATCTGTTCTCTCCTCTGCATAGATCTTTATTTCGTTATTGTTCTCCTCTGCATAGATCTTTATTCTGTTATTGTTCTCCTCTGCATAGATCTTTATTCTTGTTCTCCTCTGCATAGATCCTCCTCTGCATAGATCTTTATTGTTATTGTTCTTCTCCATAGACTGTTATTGTTCTCCTCATAGATCTTTTATTCGTTATTTTCTCCTCTGCATAGACCTTTATTCTGTTATTGTTCTCCTCTGCATAGATCTTTATTCTGTTATTGTTCTCCTCTGCATAGATCTTTTATTCTGTTATTGTTCTCCTCTGCAGGTGAGCAAGGAGTGGACGCTCGGACCGGAGTTGTGTGACATGTGGACGGCATCGGATGTTCTCTGCTGCACCGCCTCCATCCTGCACCTGGTGGCCATCGCCCTCGACAGGTGTGTGCGTGTGTGTGTGTGTGTTTGTGTTTGTGTGTTTTGTGTTTGTGTGTGTGTGTGTGTGTGTGTGTGTGGTTTGATAATAATAATAACAATAATAATGATAATAATAATAATAATAATAATAATAATGATAATAATAATTATAATAATAATGATAATAATAATGAAAATGAAAATAATGATGATAAAAATCATCATCACAATCATCAATATGATCAATATGAAGAACAATAAATGATAATGATGATAATGATCATGATAATAACAATTAATAATAATAATGATGATAATGATAGCGATGATAATAACTGATAATGATAATAACATTAATGATGATAATGATAATAATAATAATAATGATAACAATAATATGATAATGATGATAATAATATTAATAATAATAATAATAACAACAATAACAATGATGATAACAATAATAATATCATAATCATCATCATCATCATCATCATAATAATAATGATAATAATGATAATAACAATAATCCAATAATTCAGTTACGATAATTATAATAATGATAATAATAGTAATAATATCAATGATAAAGATAGTGAAAATTATAATGTTGATAATAATAATAACGATGATACTGATAATAATAACCATACCAATAATGATATATGATGATGATCATGATAATGATAATAGTAACAGCAATAACAATACTTTGATGATAATAATGATTATAATAATAATATAATAATAATGATGATAATAATAATATAATGACAATAATAATGATGATTATGATAATAACAACAAAATGATGATGATATGATAATAATGATTATAATAACATAAATAATAATAACAATAATAATAATAGTATATAATAATAATAATGATAAAATAATAATAATAATATAATAATAATAATAATAA